TCTTATGTATAGTAATAAAGAATGAATAATACTTAGCTTTTTTTTTTTTTGAGAGGTTTTTGCCATAGACCGCATGCGCTTGCCAGACAGACAGAGAGAGACAGAGAGATAGAAAGCGAGAAATCACCCCCCGGGGGGATGGCCACACCGCAGTCCCTTCTCTATTCTCCTCTCAGGATCTTGGGCACATACGCACATGCGCCCGGCGTGAGTTTAAGCCACCAAGTCTGGGACTCGAACCGCGGTCAACTATGTGGGAGTCCAGCGACATAGCCATTACGCTAACTGCTGGTCCCCAAGAATGAATAATACTTAGCTTTTGTTAATACGAGAAGGCGCATAAGTGAATCGAATGTATGTTACAAGCTTTTACTCCTGTAACTATAATAAGGCTGGATCTTAAGAATCACTATAATAGCTTGCCTGAATTGTATTCTTAAAAGGGTTCCTACACTCTCACACTTTCTCGCTTTTATGTAGACAGGCAGCATTCTGTTTTATCATGAGCATTTATTTAGTATTTCAGTTTTGGGTGGGATTAGGTCTGGTTAGCCAATATTTGGTAATGTTCTTACTCAGAAAGAAGTAAGTTTTCTCTTTTTTTATCAACAAGTATTGGCCAGCTGATGGCATGATGGTTAAGGCAGCTGGATTCCACATGGCCAGTTCAAATCCCAGGCTCTATGAAAAACTTGCTGGGCACATGTGTGTGCATGCCCAAAATCTCAAAAGAAGAAATTTTTTTATTCCCCATTCCCATGGAGAGGGGGTGGTTTCTCTTTCTCTCTTTGTCTCTGGTGAGCATGCACAGGGTAGCTAGCTATCAAGGGAGTCGTTTAGAAATATCAAAAAGCCAGCTTCATAATTTTTGATATCTATAGCAAACTTTTTAAAGAAAAGTACTTATTTGAAAAGGGGAAAGGGGCCAGCAGGTGGCATAATGGTTAAGGTACTATACTCCCACGTGGTTCACTGCAGTTTGAGTCCTGGACCTGGTGGCTTGAAATTCATGCTGGGCATTTATGCTTCCATGCCCCAAATCCCGAGAGGAGAGTGGAGGAAAAGGGAGTGCAGGGTTGTCATTCCCCCTGGAGGTGGGTGATTTCTCATTTACCTCCTCTCTCTGTATCTGTCTTTCTCTTATTCCAGCAAGCACACATGCCCTATGGCAAAAACTTTAAAAAAAAAAAAAAAAGGAAAGGAAAAGAGGAAAAAATACTATGTCTACAGCAGTGCTAAAAACTGAAAATACAGGGAACCAGCAGTTAGCGTAATGGCTATGTCGCTGGACTCCCACGTAGTCGACCGCGGTTCGCGTCCCGGACCCGGTGGCTTAAAACTCACGCCGGGCGCGTGTGCGTGCATGCCCAAGATCCCGAGAGGAGAATGGAGGAGAAGGGATTGGGGCGTGACCATCCCCCCTGGGGGGTGATTTCTCGCTTTCTGTCTCTAATATCTCTCTCTGTCTGGCGAGCGCACGCGCCCTATAGTGAAAATCTCTCCAAAAAAAAAAAAAAAAAAAAAACTGAAAATACAGTGAGTAATTTTTAGCAAGGAAAGCTGCAGACCTGTCTGAGGTTCAGTACATTGGGAAGGGAGGGACTGCTCAATTAGTCGTGTTGGCACAATGAACAGTTCACCTGGAATACACTGAGATCTTAAAACACAGGGAAAAATGACTTCCAGATGTATTAAAGACCTAAGTGTAAAAAAGAAACACTAAATCTTAGAGACTGTATGTACGTTTTATGTACACTTAGCCAAGAGTATAAATCCCTAATCTGTTAAACAAATAAACAAAGATGGACATATTTGACTACATAAAAATAGATACTTCAGTGGCAAAAGGTATCAGGAAGTTAATAAAGACTGGGTAGATTTGGAGAGATTGATTAGGGGATAATATTGGTAATATATAGAGAGTTCTTAAAATTTGTCTCGACAAGCCATCCAACTGAAATAGTTGGGCAAAACACATTCAGATGGGTAATTCATAGGAAATTCAGATTGCCTGCAAACCTATGAAGTAATTCTCAGTGTAGCAGTTAGATACACACTAAGTGAAATAACTAAGATATCACTGTTTTAGTTTTCTCTTGCTGCAGGACAGACTACCACAAGTTTCACATAACTATGTTCATGATGTCACTGAGTTTGTGGGTTGGGAAAGCCTAGCCTGGCTTAGCTGGGTCCTTTGCTTCCGGTCTTGCAAGACTGTAGCCAAATTTGCTTTTTTTTTTTTTTTTTTGGAGAGGTTTTTGCTATAGAACGCGTGCGCTCGCCAGACAGACAGAGAGAGAAAGAGAGACAGAAAGCCAGAAATCACCCCCTGGGGGGATGGCCATGCCACAATCCCTTCTCCTCCATTCTCCTCTCGGGATCCTGGCGTGAGTTTTAAACCACCGGATCCGGGATGCAAACCGCGGTCGACTACATGGGAGTCCAGCGACATAGCCATTACACTAACTGCTGGTCCCTTGTTATTGTTTTTAAATAGGTGTTGGTAGCTCTGCTCTTTCCTCAAACTTGGGGTCCTCTTCCCATGATTACTGGTAGAATTCTGTTCCTCATGGCTGGAGAACTGAGGCCCTGGCTTTGTCGTTGCCATCAGATGCTGGGCCCCCACCGCTCCCTGCTCATAGCCTTCTCACGGGTCCTCTCTCCACATGGGGTCTTAGTTCTTCAAAACCCGAGGCCTGTTCCAGTTTGCTGATAAAGAAATGTAATCCTGGCAGTGATTGTCTCATCACCTTTGCCATATTCTGCTTGATGAAAGCAAGTCACACACTCCATCCCCACTGAGTTATGTGACTTGTCAGGGGTCATCTTAGAATTCTGCCTGTCTCTGTCAGTTTACATCCATTACACTGGAAATGGCCAACAAAAAGCGATGACATGTGTGGCCAGGAGAAGGTGGGAGGTGCATGTAGGAGGGGAAGCCCTCCTGACTGGTAGAAAGGGAGTTATTGTAGCCTTTAAATAAAGTATCTTTAAAATGGATGCACTTTCTGACATAGTAAATCTATTCTTGGGAATCTACTTTGTGGAAATAAAGTCTCCAGTATCCAAGGACATATGACAGGGACTTTTATGGCAGCATTATTAGCTGTGGCAGAAAACCAGAAGCAAAGTGCATGCCCATCAGCAGGGGGAGTGGCTGAATAGAGCATGGTACATCTTGGAGTTTTGTACTCCTTTATAAAAATTATCTGCACGGGACCAGCAGATGGCATAACGATTACATTGCTAGACTCCCACATTGTTTACTGCTGTACGAGTCCCAGACCCGGCAGCTTAAAACTCACACTGGAAGCATGTATATGCACGTGCCCCAAATACCAAGAGGAGAATGGAGGAGAAGGGATTATGGCATGGCTATCCCCTTGGGGGTTGATTTCTCGCTTTCTGTGTCTTTGTCTTTCTGGTGAGTACACACGCCCTGTAGCAAAAATTATCTGTCTCAAAAAAAAAAAGAAAAAAAACTATGTGCATAAAAATGGACTTAAAGGGGTTTGCCAGAACTATGCTTCAGTGAGAGGGCTAGGTGGAGAAAAACAAACCGATTCTTTGGGTAGGGGGAGGACGTAGACACCCTAGTGTATGTGTTCATGTTTCTCTATATAATTACATAAGTGTAGAGAAAAGTGTGGAACGGTGTATATTAGATTTTTAGCATGGGGGAGGCCATTGATGAAGATGAAGGTGGAGAGAGAATGCCAAGCAAAAGCAAGAAAGGAAGAAGAAACTGTTGCAAAGAAACATCCTCTTCCCTCTATATGTGTGATATGGTCACATATTTGCATTTATGTGAAACTACTTGTACTGGTAAAGAATGCTAAATGTGCCTTTAAACTTGATTGCTGTATGGGAATTTTCCTATCTCTTTGTACAGTATAAAATTTAAAAAATGGATAATGAATGGGGTCAGCAGGTGGCATGGTATTTAAGGGTGCTAAATGCCCATATGGCCGACCGTGATTCGAGTCCTAGACCTACCTGGTGGCTTCCTTTCTCTCTTTCTCTGTGTCTCTCTGGTCAAATTTAAATAAATAAATAATGTTAAATAAAATAATTCTTTTAAAAAAATGGATAATATTTTCAGAGTGCTATATTTAGCTTTTATATGTTTACTTTTGTCAAACTATCAATATATTATCTTGGGTGGGCCCTATGCACAGTGATTAAGTCCTACATAGGAACCCAGACTCCTCATAGCCAGCCATAGTCAAATCCTACCCTGGTAGCTCATAAAGCGTGCTGGATGTGTCCAAAATCCTAACAGGATGGAGAAATAGAGGAAAAAGAATTATGGCCTGACTGTGCCCCTCTAGGGAATGCTTTCTTTCTCTCTCTCTCTGGTGAGCACATTTGCCCTAAAGACCAAAAAATAAAAAGCGTATTGTCTTAATTTTAAAGTCATTTACTCTGTCATTTGGATCCTTAAATACAGAACAGTATAGCAAAAAAGAGGGTGTGTGGCAGTAAGGAGTAGATACTATTTAGAAATGTCTCCTTTGTTTAGCCCTGCTAGGGTTTGAGCAGATGAACAACCCTTAATAAAACTGCAAAGTCTGTTTTTTTTTTTTTTACCCCTTGGAGAGGTTTTTTTGCTATAGGGCGCATGCGCTCACCAGAAAGACAGAGAGACAGACAGAAAGCGAAGGGGGATGGCCACGCTGCAATCCCTTCTCCTCCATTCTCCTCTCAGGATCTTGGGCATGCACACACACGCACCCAGCGTGAGTTTAAGCCACCAGGGCCGGGACTCAAACCACGTTCAACTTCATGAGAGACAAGCGATATAGCCACTACGCCAACTGCTGGTCCCAAACTGTGAAGTCTATTTATAAGTCGTTTATATATCTAGAGTTAAGTCAAAATAACTCATCATCCTCTTTCTATATAGTTTCTGTAATCAGAGTTCTGATTTCAACAAGTTGTTCTTCTCAGGAATCTTACAGAACTGAATGGCATTAATTTTTAAACACCATGCCTTCTAGTGTGTTTTTCTGAAGAAGAGAAATACCAGCTGCGAAAATTTGTCAATAAATCTTACCTGCTGGACAAGAGAGCCCATCATCAAGTGTACTACAGTTTGATTGATATCCTTCTGGCATATTGCTACGAAACGCGTGTCACCGAGGGGGAGAAGAATGTAAGTGTGCTTGTGTGTCTGTCAGCAAGATTACTCTGCTAAGTAAACTTGGTTAAAGGATCGGCTCTTCTGCTGAGAATAGGACCTGTCATCGTTATTTATGGGGCATCCCAGGCAGAGGTGCTTGTGCGTGCCGATGGGGACCAGCATGCAAGCATAATGCTCACTTGGCCTCTCTTCTCTTACGTAGCATTTGTCTCTAACACATAGCAGAACAGGGTAGTTAAGGAAGTGAAACCCACAGAGAGGAAGGCTGTCCTGGTCTCGCATCTCTTTCAGGCCAAAGAGAGCTGTGTTGAATGACACTTGGCATTGACATGGGTAAACTACCATACCCAGTTACAGTCTTTCTCTTAGCTGGCAATCAGCAGATGGAAAGTATAGCATTTTACAAAAAAAAAAAAAACTTAGCATTTACTTGCAAGTGTCCCTCAATTCATGTAATATGTATACTTGTCAAATCCTGTATGTAAATACATTTTAAAAGTCTGATTCATATCTTTTTTTTTTTTTGCTATTTAGAGAAATCATATGGTAAAAATGAATACTTTTATAAAGTAAATTGTTTCTTAAATGATCTTGTAAAAAGTGCTAGTACTTTATTGTTTCTCTTAAATCGTGTTTAATTTTGTAAATGAAGAACTGAACTTCTTTCTTCTTTTACTGATTGTATAGTTAAAAGGGCTTGAAAATGAAAAAGATTTTTCTAGGCAGTGTACTCCTGCAGCTATTTATAATGACCCTCCCTCAAAGGGTTATTTCTTTGAGTTGCCAGAGGGTACGCACCCTTCCAGAGAGTGAGAAAGAAAGGATCCGTGATGGGTATGGTCACGCTGCAATACTTTTTCCTCCATTTTGCCATCCCATTTGGATTTGGAGCACTATAGTCACACGTATCTAGCATGTTTTTCAAGCTGCTTCCTTTGAGAGATGATTTATAGAATGTTTGGGAGACCAGTAACTTTGTTGAGGACAGAAATTGAGCAAGCATTACTTTGCTTTACTTTTTTACATTATGATTCCTTTAGGCCCTTGCTTATTTGCTCTCATGTTCTGGTACTCCTATCAATAGAAAGGTTCCTTTTCTTAAGGTAAATAAACAGAATCTTCCTTCTAATCCTCTCTGTATCAGTAAAACAATTATTTTTTATAGTCGTAAGCACTCGTTAGTTCTTACATATGTCGATACTACTCAGATACTGTTTGAATAGATGGATATATTTGCTTTATTTTCGAGTGGTTTTACCTCTAATGTGATGGCACTGTTTTCTCCAAAACAAACAAAGGTCGAATCTGCATGGAATATCAGAAAACTGAGTCCAACATTGTGCTGGTTTGAGGTACGGTTTTTCAGTTGTAATTGTTTAGATTTCATCATTCAGAAAGTTGTTTTTCTGTCGTTTTTACTTTGTTTGGGGTCATTCAAGCAATTCATTGACATTCAAAATTCTAATTATGAGGGAACCAGCAGTTAGCGTAATGGCTATGTCACTGGACTCCCATGTAGTTGACCGCGGTTCATGTCCCAGACCCGGTGGCTTAAAACTCACACCGGGCGCGTGTGCGTGCGTGCCCAGGATCCCGAGAGGAGAATGGAGGAGAAGGGATTGCGGTGTGACCATCCTCCCTGGGGGGTGATTTCTCGCTTTCTGTCTCTATGTCTTTCTCTGTCTGTCTGTCTGGCGAGCGCACGCGCCCTATAGTGAAAATCTCTCCAAAAAAAAAATTCTAATTATGAAATCAGGTATAGTATTTTGAAAGTTAGAGTAGGGAAACATAATTTGGAAAAAGAATGGGGACATGGTTTAGGGGAGAAGGTGGGGTAGAGTGGGAGGTGCGTAGGTAAGCTGGAGTTTACTAGGGGTCAGCCCAGTTCAGCGATGGAAAGCAAACATGGGTAATTGGCCACCAGGGTCCATGCTAAGCATTTCACATATATTACTTCATCTGTTTCTCTCAGTAAGCCTGTGGGGTAAGTTTTGCTGGTTTTATAGGCTAGGAAACTTAGATCATAGCTTTAATAGCTTATCCTAGGTTCTAGAGCTTCAATAACTTACTCTGGGTTCTATAATTCGCAGAGTTTGATCTGGTAACTCTCTTAGTAGTATAGTACTGGTTGTTTTTGTACCTACTTTTTATAAAACAGGTCTCACCAAAAATATCTGAAAGGATGATACCTTTAAATTTACTAGTTTAAAATAAACTGTTAGGTATCGAAACAGTAATTGAAACTAGAAGCTTAAAGTACTCATTTAAACAGTTGAAAGTTGTATCATCAATAAAGACAACTAGTAATCTTTTTTATTCTTTTAAAGTTCATTTTTTGGGCAAATACTCAATATTATTCATAAATCTCTCATAGCATTAAGAATTAATAGGCATGGGGCTCTGCAGGTGGTGTGGTGGTTAACGGCACTGGACTCCCACATGGCCGACTGCGGTTTGAGTCCTGGACCTGGCGGCTTGCTTTCTCACTTTCCTTCTCTCTCTCTCTCATTCTGTCCCTCTCTGGTCAAATTAAACTAAATAAAAATAAAGTTAAATAAAATAATTACAAAAGAAAGAAAAAAAAAAGAATTAATAGGCATGGGGACCGGCAGGTGGTGTGATGGTTAAGGTGCTGGACTCCCACATGGTTGACCACGGTTCAAGTCTTGGACCTGATGTCTTACTTTCTCATTTTCACTTTCTGTCTCTCTCTCTCTGGTCAAATTTTAAAAATAATAATAAAATAACTTTAAAAAAATCAATGGAATTAAAGCTAAAAAAAAATGCTACTTAAAAAAGAAAAAAAAAAAATAGACATTGACCAGCAGATGGTGTAATGGTTATATCGCTAGACTACCACATAGCTACTATGGTTCAGGTCCTGAACACAGAGGCTTAAAACTCACGCCAGGAGTGTGTGTGTGTGTGTGTGTGTTCCCAAAATCCTGAGAGGAGAATGAAGGAGAAAGAATTGTTGCGTAGCCATCCCCTCGAGGGTGATTTCTCACTTTCCATCTCTCTTTTTTCTCTGTCTCTATAGTGAGCACATATGCCTTATAGCAAAAATCTCCCTTAAAAATAAAGAAGGCTGGGACCAGCAGTTAGCATAATGGCTATATCGCTGGACTCCCATGTAGTTGACCGCAGTTCAATTCCCGGACCCAGTGGCTTTAACTCATGCTAGGCATGTGTGCGTGCATGCCCAAGATCCCGAGAGGAGAACAGAGAAGGGATTGTGGCATGGCCATCCCCCCTCGGGGGTGATTTCTTGCTTTCTGTCTCTCTGTCTTTCTGGCGAGCGCACGCACCCTATAGCAAAAAAACCTCTCCAAAAAAGAAATTAATTAATTAATTAATTAATTGGCATGAAAATTACCTTGCTCCCTGAGGTTTTATTTTTTTTTTAAGAATTAATTTAATTTATTCATTCATTTACTTGAACTTGAGCAGAGAGAGACAGAGAGAGAGGGAAAGCAAGAAAGCGAGGCAACAGGTCCAGGACTCAAACCGAGGTCAGCCATGTAGGAGTGCCTAATGCCTTAACCACCATGCCACCCTCTGACTATGTTGGGTTTTTGTTTGTTTGTTTTAATTGACAGAAAGTATGTGTGCTTGCCAGAGAGAGATGTAGAAACAGAGGAGAGCACCCCTTAGCAGGGTGTGGTCATGCTGTAATCCCTTCTTCGTTTCTCCATTCTGCCAGGATTCTGAGCATGCATGCACCTGCATCCAGCATGTTTTTCAAGTCGCCAGGGCTGGGATTTGCTGTCGGCCATGTGGGATCCAGTTCTTTTAACCACCAGGACATGAGGCTGGCCCTCTGAGCTTAACTTTTTTATTTCAATTTTATACACGGTCTAAATTTTTAAACTTTTATTTTTTTGGAGAGGTTTTCGCTATAGGGCGCGTGCATTCACCAGACAGACAGAGAGAGACATAGAGACAGAAAGTGAGAAATCACCCCCCAGGGAAGATGGTCATGCCGCAATCCCTTCTCTTCCATTCTCCTCTTGGGATCTTGGGCACGCACACACATGCGCCCGGCGTGAATTTTAAGCCACCAGATCCGGGATGCGAACCGCGGTCGACTACGTGGGAGTCCAGCGACATAGTCATTACGCTAACTGCTGGTTCCCTAAAATTTTAATCTTTGCTTATCAAAAATCAATTTTGTAGAAAATTTCTTTTGTCTAGAGTTTTCAGTAAGTTTTGAGTTGCTAATGGTATCATTTGGAGTACTGTGCAAGATAAAACACTTTTCCAGAAATCAGTAGTGTACTGTTCTCTCATTGATATGTGAAAGCAAATTACCAAGTAATTATCATTTATTACTCATGACCAAAGTAAAGGAAAAAAAGTAAGTGGTAGATTGTGGATTTATTTCACTAAAGGGTTCTATGTCCTTGACATCCTTGATCTATGTTATCTTGTATGACCCTAAAAGACAGAAGTATGAAATATGTACCATTTAAAAAATCTTTATATGTATCCGTATTTTGTTAATGCCATGTGTTTTAAATTGTTTTTTGTAATTCTTTAGACTTCTTAAAACTTTCCTGCTACATACATGATTTTTAAGGAGCATTTATGGTATTTTAATGTATTATGAGAAAAAACAAAGACTACAATTAAAATTTTTACTGTAAGGTGTAAAGAGAATCTGATTTCTTGGTTTTATGTTGCCCTTATGCTTGCCTTCGTAATGATCCAAACGTGACGTTTTTGATTGAGAGTTTCAAACTTAATTGTACATTTTTGTGTGTAATGTAGTTTATGGGAATGACTATATATCGAAATGGCACTTTACAGACTTGGGCTAACGTCCATGAAATCGTGGTGTCTTTTGGAAGAAGAGTTTTGTGCTACCCACTTTACCGTCATTTCAAGCTTGCAGCAAAGGCCTGTGAAGACACTATAAAAATATTGCAACTAGGTGAGACATCCTTCTTGCAGATTTGGAAGTGGAAGGGTTTAAGTTTTCAGTCTGTGAAGATGTAATCATAATCTTTGCTTTTTTTCCTATATGTAAGTAAGGAAATAATCTCACCAACCCACCCCCCCCCACCCCTCGGTATATGGAAAAATAGATTCTCTTTATAGAATGATAAACAAGGGATTTCAAAAAGTTTGTGGGAAAATGAAATAAAACTGCAAGTTTATTTTGCTGCAAAAATGTGAAATCCTTGCATAGTTTTTTCATAATACACATTTTTCTGTAAACTTTTTCCAAACCCCTCCCAGTTACAGTCACAGAGTTGTGATGGCTTTTTGAGAAGAGGTAGAGACGGTGCACACAGTATTGCAAGCCATCTTCTGGTACAGTAAATTGCATCCCTCAGTACTTCTGGGATGCCTGTAATTTTTTATGCACTATGTTAGGACTGTGTAATATAGAAGATAGATATAAATTCCCTGCTCTGATGCAATTCACAGTTTTCACAGAGACAGATGATAAATAAGTAATCAATTCTGATACAGAGTTTGAAAAGTGCCCTGCTGGGGGAAGTGCTGGGATCATTTAGGAGGAGATGGTAGACTTCGGATGATAGACCTAGACTTCGGAAGACAGGAAGGCCTGCAATGAAAAGCATAGTTACTCTGAGTACTTAAAAAATATATATATATTTACTTAATTTTATTTGTTGTTATTATTTTTTTTTAAGTTGGATCACAGGGGCACAGAGAGAGAAGCAGGGAAAGGGAGAAAGCAAGCTGCTAGATCTGAGACTCCAACCGCAGTTGGCCACGTGGGGGTGCAGCTCCTCAACTACCATGCCACCTGCTGACCCACTCTGAGGACGTTTAATTATTGCAAAATTCCACGTGAAAAGACAGCTATCTAGCTTTAAAGATACGGGAAACTCGAGGCTCTGAAACAAAAGTGCCCATAACAATGTTAATAGAGTAAGTATATAATTTCTAAGATAATGACTTTGAAAGGCGCAGCATCCATTTGTGTTTATTAGTTCTGGCACATTTATTTAAAAGTCACTTTGAGTACTTTATGGTCATTTCTTATATTCTTTCCCTGGGGAGTCCCATCATTCCTTTGCCCTTAGATAAAAGTTTTTCTGGGAGCTTAGTTTTCAGACTTGAAGGTCAGAAGGGGAAATAAAAGAATTTCTTCCCCTTACATCCAGGTAACTTCATTGGTTTAAAGAGGAGGATCAGTCTCTAAATGTCTGATCCCACTTCAAGATGTACTTAGTTTTTCTTTGCCTTCTGGGCAACTTGTAGTCTTGCTCTGGGGGGAAAAGTCATGTTTGAAGTATATTCTTTTAAAGTAGACAGTAATTGTAAAAATGAGTTATAGCTAAATGAAATATGCCTTTCTATTAGTCGAGTTGGTTTAGACTAGCTGTGTTTTATTTTGAAGGATTGTTGATTATAGGATAAAAGAGTTGCTGTTGTTGAGATATCTGTCTTCCTTAACTGAACAGTGGGAAGCTGCTTTGTTTTTTTAAAAGTATGTTATTTCTTCTTGCCTTCCATCCAAAATACTTCTTTTTTTTTAAAAAAAGAATTATTTTATTTAACTTTATTTATTTTAATTTTTACCAGAGGAGCAGAGAGAGTGAGAGAGAGAAGGAGGGAAAGTGAGAAAGCAAGCCGCCAGGTCTAAGACTCAAACAGTGATTCAGCCATGTGGGAGTCCAGCTCCCTTAACCACCACGCCACCTGCTGGCCCCAATTGAAAATACTTCTTGAATCACTAAAATGGCCTTGGAAATCAATCACTAAAAATGATTATTGAACTCATCAAAATTAATTTTTTTTTTAAAAAAGAGTGATTTAATTTTATTTATCATTATTATTATTTTAATTTTTACAGTGCAAATGCATTCACCAGAGAGAGAGGGCGGTAGAGAAAGTGAGAAAACAAGTTGTGGGGTCTGGGAGAGAGGAAGAGGGAGGGAAAGTGAGAAAGAAAGCCACTAGGTCCGGGCCTCAAACTGTGGTTGACCAGGTCCAGTACCTTAATCACCATGCCACCTGCTGGCCCCATTAATTGCTTTTATGAGTCATGGTAGATTATCTCGGCGTTGTGTATAGATTTAAACAGTGGGAATACAGTTTGTGATTATTCTGTTAAGTCATGGCTTCTAGATGGAAAACTGGCACACGTATTTGCTCACCCATACTCATACCAACAACCACACACTCACAATTGCATTTACATTTTCACTCTCATTCTCTCATGTGTACAAACTGCTACTTATTTTTATTCTGGGAAGTAATCTAGTTTTCTAGATTCTTATTTGAAAAGTAATCAGTTCTGTGATTGCATAACCCAAAATAAATGTGATTGCCTTGAGTTACACTGTAGTCAATTACTCCACCAGTTGTAGTAGGTCAGAACTGAAGTCGAGACTTAATTTGTCATCATTATTGCTCTGACAAGAAGTAGTCTTATCAGCTGTGTTATGGTGACAACAGAAAACTTAAAGCAACACGCTGGAGCATCTCTGCTAAAAACGAGTCTGAACCCTGAAGGCCACACACAGTATTTTCTGTGAAGTCCTTGGGTTGTGGCTATTAGTGCTGACACAGAGGGCTGGTTTGTTGAGAATTCATTGCCTTAAGCTAGGGGGATGACAGCACTGGTTGAGGATTATAACCTGTGGATGGCATAGGAATGCCATTATTGCCACTGAAGAGTCTCAGTTGTTTGGACATGTGATAATTTAAGTGGAGCTTGCTCTGATTTGGCACTTAATGTTTTCCAAGAATAAATTGGTGCCTACTTATAATTCAAAATGCAGTCACAGCGCTCATACTTTTTACTGTCAAAGGTCAGTGTTACGCTTCTGTAGTTGAAAGTAATGAATAACTCTTTTCCCCAAAAGAAATATTGATCTTAAGTGGATTAGGCTTCCAAAACCAATGTAGGAATGTTTCATAATCTGCAGAATATTTCATTGTAACTGATTACTACTAAGATGTGAGTTTTTGGAGGGACCAGCAGATGGCATAATGGCTACGTCGCTGGACTCCCACGTAGTCAACCACCATTCGAGTCCCGGACCTGGTGGCTTAAACTCACACTGGGCACGTGTGCGTGCATGCCCAAGGTCCTGAGAGGAAAATGGAGGAGAAGGGATTGCAGCATCGACATCCTCCCTGGGGGGCAGTGATTTCTCACTTCTGTCTCTCTGTCTCTCTCTGTCTTTCTGGTGAGTGCACACGCCCTAGCCAAAAACCTCTCAAAAAAAAAAAAAAAAAAAAGATGTGAGTTTTGGGGACCAGCAGATGACATAATGGTTACATTGCTGGACTGCCACATGGCCGACTGCTGTTTGAGTCCTGGGCCCAGTGTCATGAAACTCATGCAGGACTTGTGTGCATGCGTGCCCAAAATCCCAAGAGGAGAATAGCGGAGAAAAGATTGCAATGTGGCTATTCCATCTGGGGGTCATTTCTCATTCTCTGTCTCTCCATTTCTCTTTTCATTGAGTGCATGCAACCCATAGCAAAACTCTTCCTTAAGGGGGAAAAAAAAGATACGAGTGTTCAAAGAGCCATGAATTTATCTGACTTCATAGTAGTCTTTAGGCTTTTGGCTCTTTTTAGTTTTGTATTTCTTTTCTAACTCGTCCCCTCCAAAAGGCTGAGTGTTAATTTTTTTTTTTTTTTTGCTGTTAGTTTATGTTTAATTCAGACTCCTTTAAGGGTAGGAAATCCTGCTTTGCCCCCTTAAATATCGTTTTAGTGCTTAACCAAGGCCCTCACATGAGGAGTTACTCTCCGGTTGGTCATCTTGGGGCATATGAGCTCCCCCCTTTTTTTTTATGCCTGCCACTTTAGTAACTTTCTTTGCCTCCTCCTCGTCTCCTCCTCATTCCATTCTTTTGGGAAGCATGGGTAGAATCCTTCATGAAAGTGTCCTTCAGCTCTCGTTAGTCAGTTGAAAATAAAAAGAGAGCAACTTTTGTAATATATCTCTGGAAGTTTCATTCTCTTTGGAGGTGACACGTCTTACTGCTTAGCTACACAGTTTTGGACTAGTATCCAGATCATCTTCATCTCTGTACAGCATTCCTCAGTCTATTTCTGTTAGAAGGACTAAGTGTGATAAGGTAGGAAGGGAAACAAGAACCTAATTTTTTCTTCCAATTTTCCCTTCGAGCTCATTCTATAGGTTCATTTTCATTGCCCTTGGATGGAATATATATCATATATACGTATATTTTTCTATCACATCATATATACTCTATACCTTTTTCTAGGACTTTGTTCATTTGTTTAGATTTTTTTTTAGTTACCAAAGAGTGTGCACTTGCCAGAGAGCGAGAAAGCACCGCGGTAGGGCACGGTCACACCTCAACGCCTTCTCCATTGCTTCTCCTTCCATCGGGACTTTGGGCATGCACATCCATGCGCCTGGTGTATTTTTCAAGCCTCTAGGTCTGCGTTTTGAATATAGACAGCCAGACACCAGTCTTTTTACGCTATAATTGTAATTTTCAGGGCAAACTGGTTGTACTCTTTTAGGGCCCTTTTTTTTAAACAAACAAACAAACAAACAAACAAACAAACAAACCTTCCTCTTGGTTTAAGGTTACAGAAATCCCCCTGCCTCCTGTTACCCATTGGTGGTTTATAATAAACCCCACAACGCTGAACCAACTTTATCCAAAGAGGTTTTTTTTTTTTTTTTTTCTTTAACCTTTTTACTCTTAAGCTCCTAGAGGTCAGTATTGTGCCTGACTTACTTTTTTTTTTTTTCTTTTTTAATTACCAGAAGGGTAATTCTCTGCATTTGCCAGAGAGAAATGAGGGGGAGAAAGAAAATACCCCAATGGATGTGTTTATGCTGCAATCTTTTCCTTCCATTTCTCTGTCCATCAACTTAAAAACATTTTTTTAAGGTTTTTTCTATCCTCTCCTGGGTTGGGGCACTCACACACACGTGCCTGGAGTGACTTTCAAGCT